TTTCCAGCCTATAATAAGAATGAAAATAGTCTCTGACAAAGTGGTGAAAGCTGTAAATTAGTTTATATTCTATACCGTTACAAATTTAGGGGCAGAATTAATATAATTATTATTTATTTTTGAAAGATTTTATTCAGCAAGGACGCATTTAATGGATCAAAAGTGACAGTGAAGACATTCAAATGTTATAAAATATTCTATTTCAAATAAATGCTGTTCTTTAAAACTTTTTATTCATTATAGAATCCGAGAAGAGCATGCATCACAGTTTCTACAAAAATATAAAGCAGCTGTACAATATTGATAATAATATTGAGCACCAAATCAGCATATTATAATGATTTCTGAAGGATCATGTGACACTGAAGACTGGAGTAATGATGCTGAAAATACAGCTTTGATCACACGAATAAATTATATTTTAAAATGTACTAGTATTTAACAATATTGCATTTTTTCTCTTTAATAACAAACGCAGCCTCGGTGAACATAAGAGACTTCTTATGTTTTTATCTACCGTTATGGCTTCATGTTTCCATCTTTAATGCACATTTTGGGATATTGCATAAAAAATGCTGGATGGAAACACCGAGATGCAAATAAATTCTAAAAATGTGCATTAAAAAAAGCGTATGTGTTCAATTGAGGTGGATACATTTTGTTATCTAGAAAACATACACAAACTATGATGGAAACACATTTAGGCCTACCAAATAAATTCCTTCAGAAAAGACGTGACTTTGCGTGATGGGACGGCATAACTGGACTAACCATTTTATAATGCCTGAGCAAAGTCTGTCATATAATTACGATTCGATATATGGGATTCGGTGTAATTCCCTCCCAGAACTGTCTTACACGACTGCATTCCCACACAGCAGCATCCGCCTCCGAAAGCAAGATAACATGAACACGTTTATTGCGTTTCGTCTACATGCTCTGAGGCGCAAGTCATGGACTGCCCTTGCCCTGGCATCAATGCAGAAATGCATTCGGTTTTCGAATCCATTTTATTTTCAGTGGAATATTTTTACATGCGCTCTGGAGATATTATCATATGCTTCCGTGTGTGTGTGCGCGCGCGTGTCAGACTTTGATCAGTAAAGTTCCTGGTGACTTGGAGGCAGATGAAACAGTTTTTCCAAATTAGAGCACCCACTCATTCTCTCACTCTTTCTTCTTCTCCTCTGTATTTTATCCTGCCACACATAACTCTAGGCTTCACTCTTACACTGCTGTTATCTGCAGACATTTGACTAAATAACATCAGTCGTTAATTGCCAAATCACATGTTTTGTGGGTTTTTTTAGTCCACCATTTTTCATACTTTCTTCTTCTCTTCTTTGCGGTGCTTCTGTCCAGCTGTTCGCTTCAGTTTCACTGCTAAACACTGCCAGAATGATGCAGATATACACTCTCAATCAGGTTATAGTATTATTTATATTCTATTATCGTATGAGTCAGCTTTTATTTTTAAACTTCCAGTTTTCATTTTAAGTTTTAGTAATTTCACTGTCATTTTTTTTTTTTTTTTGAGGTCTGCAAAGTTTTAAAGATCAAAGTGTACGACAAATAAAGTTATTGTCTCCTAAAAGAAAGAATTGATTCTGATCTGTTGAAATGAGTCGTCAGTAATTCCAGTCTCTCTCTGTTACAAACCTACGTAACAAATTTGCATAATGCCAGTCTATGGTGTTCATTGGCTGTCCGTGAACAGCTTCTGCTTTGACCTCAAACACTGTAGTTGTAGCTGAGACTGGAAGAGTTTGGTTCGTGTTGTTCATGTCGAGAAGACGCTGTTTTCAGCGCTGAGAATCCACTGTGATGCACTTCAAAAGAACGAGGACTCGCGCGGGAATCGATACGGTAAAACCGAAGCCATCGTTACTGTTCGTATCGCTGTTTATCAAGAGCTGAGGAAGGGAGAGACTGAATTTTTGAGAAATGAGGTGATGTACAATGTATATTATGTGTATATTAAGTGTGTTTTGACCTTGGATGCATGTACACCACACTGTAAAAAATAAAATCGTAAAAAAACGGTCAATGACTGGCAGCTACGGCTGCCAAACAAAAACCGTAAAAATAAAGTAAAATATCCTAATTTAAATTGAGTGCAAAAAACTTTTCCAAACTTTGTCCTTAAATGTTTTACAGAAAAACACTGTTATTTTACAGTTATTTCCTGAATTATTATGATCAAACACCTTCACTGTGAAAAAACTGTCAGCAATGGCTGCCATACAAAAACCATAAAATGAATGTAAAATATCCTAATTTAAATAAATACTATTGCAGAAATCTTCATTAAGCTTTTTAACGGAAACACAGTTATTTCACATATATATATATATATATATATTTACTGAATTTTTATTAAAAAACATAATCACTGTAAAAAGTAAATATCTTGCTATAAACTACACGCATGATTTACTGTGATTATATGTCATCAGCAACTACACAGTTACCGTCTGTTAAATAAAGCAACATGCAGCATTTCATCAGTGTTTCTCTGCTCATCCTGGACTGAAGCTCAGGCTCTACTCTTCAACACAATGGTGACACACAAAACACACCATACAGAAACACTTTAAACATTAAACACTAACAGATCTCTCAAGATCTCAGCATCTTCACTTATTACAATCCAGACTTCTTTCATACTAACATTCTTATTGAGAAATAACAGAGGTTTAGAAGTTGATATTTTATTGAAAATGATAAAGTTTGATGTCACCATGATAGAGATCAGTGCTGGCTTTAGTTGGGCTCTTGACCCTTCAGATATTAACATTAGTTTTTCTCTGGCTGCTTTAAGTGTGTCTCTGATACATATTTGTTATTGTAGGACACTGAGGTCAGATGATGTTGGTCACTTATTAGTGATAACAAACATCAAGCAGTTGTCTGCTTTATTGATACCACCTGATTGGTATGACTTATTACTAACTGAATAAGTTGTAAAATATTATTTGTTAATTTAGAATGCCAGTATTGCTATGGAAGATCCGGTAATGCTGTGATATTAAGATTTTATGAAGTTATTATGCAGAAAATGTTTTGACAGGATCTTATAGACTCACTCAGGCATCAAGAATTAGCGTATGAATCTCACCAATGGTGACAATGAAAAAAAAATTCTGACCTATTATAAAGTCACAAAAAGGCTTTGTTGATTGTCACCATTGTTGAGATTCATATGTTGATTATTGATGTCCCCATACTGCTAACAAAATACACCGACTCAAAACATTTTATGTAGAATATATATTTTTTTTTTAATTTGAGATTGCTATAATACTGATGCCACAATATTTCAAAAATCATGTGAATAAAGTATGATATTAATAATTGCCTTTGTATAACACTAAAGTCCATCTGTATATAATTTATTCACAGCTAATAGAGATTTGAGTGTCATATCAGTGAATCAGATCATTATATGATGACTATAAAATCATCAATAAATGACCAAGATCATCTGATATTTTCTCTTGCAATTATTGCCATAATAAATGTGCATCAAAACACAATTAAAGCAGCCAGAGAAAAAGTAATATTAAAACTCAAGAGTCATGAGCCCAACTAAAGCAAACACTGATCTCAATCATGGTGACATCACATTTCTGTTAAAGTTTTTTACACTTTATTTAAATTAGGATATTTTACTTTAATTGTATGGTTTTTGTTTGGCAGCCGTAGCTGCCAGTCATTTGACCCTTTTTTTACGATTTTTTTAAAATGAAGGTATATGATCATAATAATGCAGGAAATACCTGTGAAATAACAGTGTTTTTTTGTTTTATTTGAATTATAAGATTTTACTTTCATTTTATGGTTTTTGTTTGGCAGCCGTAGCTGCCAGTCATTTGACCCTTTTTTTACGATTTTTTTTAAAATGAAGGTATATGATCATAATAATGCAGGAAATACCTGTGAAATAACAGTGTTTTTTTGTTTTATTTGAATTATAAGATTTTACTTTAATTTTATGGTTTTTGTTTGGCAGCCGTAGCTGCCAGTCATTTGACCCTTTTTTTACGATTTTTTTTTCCACTGAAGGTATATGATTGTTATTTTACAGGTATATCCTGAATTATAACAGTGTTTTTCAGTTTATTTAATTTAGGATTTTTTACTTTAATGTTACAGTTTTTGGGGGGCTGCCAGTCATTTGACCGTTTTATCATTTAACTGTTTTGTTACTGTTTAATTGCAGATTATATTTGTAATTTTACATACATTTTTATGTAATTTAAGAAAACAGAAAAAATACTGTATGAAAAATACAATCAATTTCCTCTATAAAAAATGTGAATTACTGCAATTTGTCATTAATGTCACAATACCTAAAATAACAGCTGAATTTTTATTTTACAGATATTATTTGTAATTTTACAGTGTTTTGAGTACAATTTAAAATGAAAGAAAATGATCGTCAAAAAATCACAGTTATTTTCTGTAAAATTAGGATTTTTTTTTTACAGTGCAACAAAATGAGGAATCTTGAAAATAGCGTAACAGGAGCACTGTAAATTTCTCATCTAATGGACTGTTTTCACAGACTGTGATGATGCGTTTCCACAGGTATCAACATCGCCAATCTAGTAAAGTTTTTCAAATTATATTTATGACGCTACTTTGTTATATTACCCTTACCACAAAAAAATTGGTGTTTCCAATACAATGGCTGAGGGAGTGACGGCAAACTTGACATCTTGAAAACGCTATCATGTGTTTCTTCTTTTGCTATTGGAGCAAATGGGAATGCAAAAATGATATTTGCTGTCACCTCCTGTTCACAACTATAGGAGTTTAAACAACTATGACGACTTGCACACTTCTAAGAACCCTGGAAATGTGAAAAGGGTCCATATTTATATTTTATTTTATATCAGCTGTATTTTAATTACTGAAAACAATTTTAGTGTAATAGTTTTAGTTAACAATTACAACTCTGATCTGTGTTTCCCCTCTTCTCCTTCTCTTAACTGCAG